TCCAAAAGAACTGTATATACTTTAAAAGCACCTGTGCTATGTGAAAATCCCTCAGCATAAAAGTAAAGGGCTGACAATTTGCCTTTGATGGACTGCAGTAACAACCCCCTTTCCTTGAGGTGAACACAGAACTGTAAAACGTCAGCTACCAGTAGAGACTTCTCAAAGTCCTTGCTGATGATGCCTGAACTGGATAACTTTGCTTACTGCCCTAAAATAACTTTTGCTAGTGCCCATGGCAAGTGAAAGACTAATGGCCCTCACTATCTCACCCCTCCAAGCTCCCAGAGGGCTAGTGTCACTGGGCCCAGAAGTGCTCCATTTATTTACAGGAAAAAAGCGTTGTTAATGTTGTTTACTCCTGCCATATGGAGCACCACAAACAAAATGTTACAGTGCAGGGTAAAAGACCTAACTAAATGCGTATAATCCACCTAGACTGAGAAGACAAAGGATTGATTGCCTAGCTGTGGCCATATTGTCATACCAAAAATGCACAGAGGAGTTAGCCAACTTCTCTGCCCAAACCAAGGAGTTTATCACACGGGGAGTCCCATGCAGAAACGCTGCTTTAAATTGGGAAAAAATGCAAAAGTGGAAGCAATTTATCAACGGGATTTCCTCATGTGATAAACTCCAGCGCAGTTAAAAGGAGGTTAATCTGAATGGAAATTAGACAAAAACTGCTTCTTTTTACTTTCGGGATCTTCCAAAAGTAAAAAGAAACAGATTTCTGTTTGGATTACCCTCCTTTTAACAGCGACGTCGTCTGAAAAAACACCCGCTTTTGCAGGTTTTGTTTAATTTAAAGCCCCATTTCCACACAGGATTTCCCCCGTGTGATAAACTCCCTAGACTGCTACCAAAGGGAGAGGGAAAAAAATATGGTCAGCTGTAATGCCAGCCTGAACCCAGACCTTGGGCCAACAACACCAGTGACCTCAAGGATAAATTCCAAACCCTATAAAACCCGCGAAAGGAACATATAGCCCTTTACAAGAAAACAAGAGCTCAGGGCCTTTGCAGACTGCCAGAAATAGTGCAAATTGAGTCCAGTTTTAGGGTTAGGGTTAGGGTTAGGGAATCATGGAAACTGTATTTTATTGTGGCACCAGAGCTCTCTGACAGAGAAGGCTCAATGTCTCAGGAAAAAAACAATTCCCATGATTCTCTAGCACTAACCCTAACCCTTAAAGTGGACTCAATTTGCACTATTTCTAGCAGTCTGCAAAGGCCCTCAGTCATCAGATATGCATACTGACCAGCCCCAAATTGACCAGCAAACAAACAAAAGTATCCAAATAATAATTCCTCCCTGTCTGGTCTTCTGTCTGAGGCCCACTCCAGAAATGTACTGAACTTCTCAAACACAGAACAAGACACGAGGTACCCTACAGGAAGGGCCCATGTAAAACATGCTTTCAAATGAGAAGCCCAACAGTTCAAAATCATCAAGGAGAACTGGTAAAAAACGAAATAGAAGAAGAGAAAACCTGTGAACATCCATTAGGCTTGGCCTCTTTCATAGGTGGGGGTTTATTCTATATGACATAGCTACTGAAATGATCTCCTATGTATTTAAAAACTAACAATGGGTGGTATCTCATCCTAAAGAAAGTCCAGAGTGGTTCTGACCGCCTACAACAGGGCTGAAGCATCACCAGGACACATCCTTGGAGACCTGGAAATGGCATCATATCACTTCTGTTTTGGGTAGGCCTTTTGTTTTGTTGTGGAGCTTTCTAAGGACCTTATCACACGGGGCCCAAAGGAGTCAGAATCCACACTCAA